GTTTCAGGAGGTTTTTCTTTAAGATTTTTTTTTTTTAAGATTTTATTTATTTATTTGACAGAGATCACAAGTAGGCAGAGAGGCAGGGTGGGGAAGCAGGCTCCCTGCTGAGCAGAAGCCTGATGCAGGGCTTGATCCCAGGACCCTGGGATCATGACCTGAGCCGAAGGCAGAGGCTTTAACCCACTGAACCACCCAGGCGCCCCTTTTTAAAAAGATTTTATTTATTTATTTGAGACAGAGAGTGGGGGGGCACACAAGCGGGGAGGAGGGTCAGGGGCAGAGGGGGAAGCCGACTCCCCACTGAGCAGGGAGCCCAATGCAGGACTTGATCCGAGGACCCTGGGGTCATGACCTGAGCTGAAGGCAGACCCCTAATAGAGTGAGCCACCCAGGCATCCTAGGAAGGCCCTTCTTACACAGCTTTGCAGTTACAGCCTGCCAGTGCATGGATAATGCCTCAGAGCAACCTCTGCTCAGGAAACTCATGGCTTCCAAGTTCTCTCAGCTGCCAGCAGAGCGCCCCCACCAGCCCTTGGAGAAGTGATGATGGGTATGCTTGAATTTGTCATCTGATATCCTAAGACCTTTATGGTTAAGGGGGATACCTACTAGGGACTACTAAGACCTTTATGGTTAAGGGGGATACCTGCCAAAAGATGCCTTGAATCAAGAACACACACTGAACAAAGAAGGTACAACTGTGAAGCAAAAAGAGCAGTCTCTAGATTCAGTAGGTGACTGTAAAATGGAAGATACAAAATAACTGACTTTTATATGGGTAAAAACAAATTCTGTGTGCAGTTTAAAAATGTATTTTTGGGGCGCCTGGGTGGCTTAATGGTTAAACGTCTGCCTTAGGCTCAGGTCATGATCCTGGAGTCCTGGGATTGAGCCCCACATCAGGCTCTGGGCTCGGCGAGGGGTCTGCTTCTCCCTCTCCTACTCCTCCTGCTTGTATTCCCTCTCTCGCTTTCTCTGTCAAATAAATAAATAAAATCTTAAAAAAAAAGTATTCTTTATATCAGAAAGAGATCATTACTTTTTCTTACCTCTTGAACATTGAACCTTAGGATCTCCTTCATGTAAGTAGGCAATAACGTCAATAAAGTATAAAAGGTCCAGTTGTAAGAAAAATGTGCAACTACAATAGCCCAAAGAGGCGATGATCTTAGCATGGGTGTCCATGGCACTGACTTCTGTGAAGAAAGCTGAAAAAAATAACAGGCACTATTAGTATATGTTATGTTTATATCCATACTTTATCAGCCAAAATTCCGTCTGGAACACATTACCAGCCTTGATTAGTAAGTTCCAGAAGCCTTTTTTTTGGAGGGGGTAAAGATTTATTTATTTTAGAGAGAGAGAGAGAGAACAAGAAGAAGGGGGAGAGATTGGGACAGAGAAGCAGACATCCAACCTGATGCGGGGAAGATCTTACAACCCTGATATCATGACCTGAGCTGAAATTAAGACTTGGGACACTTAACTGACTGAGTCACCCAGGTGCCCCAGTAAATTCCAGAGTTTTAAACCAACTCTTTCAAAATATTAAACAGCAATAGGGTTGTCCATGATTCAGGTTGAAAGAAAAAACAGGAATGTAATCTTATAACTCCTTATGAATGTCAGAATTCACTTGCAGTATTAATTTCTCCATCTATAAAATAGAGAATAGTTTCATAATAAAATTCAGAGGTTGACATAACGGCAAAGGAATGAGACTGCAAGTCTATTAGAATTCCTATTTCACCATCCAATCTTTACTCAATTCCAATGACTTATAAGAAGGTCGCAACAGAATGTTTGTTTATGCGGCATCTGGAGCAATGGTCTTCGAAGTAGGGTGTAAGCACCCGAGGGGGATGTAAGATGACCCCTCGCTGTATGGAAGAACATTTTAGAACTTTTTTTTTTAAGATTTTATTTATTTGTCAGAGAGAGAGACAGCACAACGGCAGGCAGAGAGAGAAGAGGTTCCCGCTGAGCAAGGAACCCAACAGGGCACTAGATCCCAGGATCCTAGGATCATGACCTGAGCTGAAGGCGTCCCCAATTTAGAACATCTATCTATACTCACTTTTATCCTAAAGAAGAGAAACTAAACACCATTAATATTTAATAACTAGGTTGGCCCTGGAGTATGTCACACAGTCATATACTGTATCATCTCCCCGGTTCGAAGGGGTTGACGGTGTCCTCACTTGTCGGCTTGCCCTCACAACTACAACACAGTACAGTTTACCCCCACCTTTTTAATTGGGTTTGTGGATTTTTTTAAACCAGTTTTAATGAAAACAAATCTACAAAACTGACACTGTCTTCAAAAGATTCTAACAGAAAGTCATGGAAGAGAATTCTAATAACACAGGCTCACAGGAACACTAAGACAACAGTGGAACTGACACTTGTCCTCATCAGTCCTTTGTCAGCTGCCGCACCCAGCAAAGTCACAGTAGGCTCATCAGATACAACACAGTCAACACTGCTCCCATTAAACATTATTATTACCAATTTTTAAGCAATAAAAAGTTTTTCCCATTGAAATTCCAAATTCATGTATACACTGCTTATTTCATTTTATTCACTCTTCAAAAAGTCTATTTTTAGACATGTTTTATAATACACGTAAGTACAGTAGTACCTGTAGATAATGATGAATAAATATACGTATATTGAGTGTTAACCCCCACCTTTTAAGTGATGCATGATTAAGAAACATGAATCCACTGGCCTGGAGCATCAGATTATTACATTTCCTATACACTGAAGCTCTGTGGTTTCCTTCTCAAAAGCTAATACAGCCATTTATGTTTCTGCCTCCAGGGTTCACGATTATTTTAAAGAGAGGAAGAACTATTATAAATCTTCTTGTGCCTTTTTTTCCCTAGGGACTTTTTATCTGACTTGGTAGATACACTTTTGTGTTTTTCACTCTGTATCAAAGATGTAGGTGATTTGGGGGAAGAGGAGGAGAGGGAACTTTTATTTTGATACAGCAGCATATATCATATTGAAATTATGTGCACACATGTCTGTCTCTCTCTGGAGATCACAGGTACCCCAGGAACCATGTCTTGTTCATTTTCTTTCTTTCTTTCTTTCTTTCTTTTTTTTTTTTTTTTTTAAGATTTTATTTATTTGATAGAGAGAGAGACACACACAGCCAGAGAGGGAACACAAGCAGGGGGAGTGGGAGAGGGGGAAGCAGGCTTCCCACAGAGCAGGGAAGCGGACATGGGGCTCAATCCCAGGACTATGGGATCATGACCAGAGCTGAAGGCAGACATTTAATGACTGAGCCACTCAGGCACCCCTCATTTTTTTTTTTTTTTTGGTATTAATTTTTAAGTGCTCAGTGCCTGACAAAGAACCTAGGACATGGTAATTCTCAAAAAAAAAATGTTTAAAGAATGAATGAAGTTCAGCGGATGGTGTACATTTCTTAGATTTTAGATTCTTAAGATTTCAAGATTTAAAGGTGGAGCTTCATGTAACACATCATTATTATTTTTTTTTTTTTTAAGTAAATTCTCTGCCCTATGTGGGCTCAAACTCACAGCCCTGAGATCAAGAGTCTCATACTCTACCAACTGAGCCAGCCAGGGACCTTTATCTTATGACATTTTTAATCACAACATCATCTGGCTTAAGAATGCAGTTTGGAATTCTATGAAACATAATCCTCCTAACTCGTCTAGCTTCTGAGTATTCCATTTTCTGAAGTATATGGAAAAACAAATTAACCTTAAGTTTGGATAAGCGACAGCTTTAGACACATATCGAGGTAGAGAAAGCAAGCTTTTTAAAAAATCTAAATAAACTGGGGCATCTGGGTGGCTCAGTGTGTTAAAGCCTCTGCCTTCAGCTCAGGTCATGATCCCGGGGTCCTAGGATTGAGCCCCGCCATCGGGTTCTCTGCTCAGTGGGGAGCCTGCTACCCCCCTCCTCTCTCTCTTCCTGCCTTTCTGCCTACTTGTGATCACTGTCTGTCAAATAAATAAATAAAAAAATTAAAAAAAAACTAAAGAAACTAAAAGTTTTCATAAGTCCATAAAAATAGTAATAGAAAGGAAGTAATGAAATAAATAAGCTGTTACCATCAATGCTGAGAAAATGTGACAAGACATATCAAGTTTCATATGGCAAGATCTCACAATGCATTACATTATTTTTATCTGTCCCTTAGGGGTAAAGTGGGTCACTCATTTGATCAACATCACAGAGGATACCAAGTGAATAAAGCAACTTTATACTATATTGTGACTTTTTTTCTGAGTTTTTGCCAACCTGAAGACCAAGAGGCGCCATATTCCTTAAAGTTCAGCAGCTTGTAGAGACATTTGTAGCAAAATTTAAAAACTTAAAAAGAAAGGTGAATAAGTCAATATTTAATTGCTGCCCGGTTACACTATATATAAAAACTGAAAATATCAATAATAACAACTTAATGGGTAAGAAAAGTTTTTTTTTTTTTTTTAAAGATTTTACTTATTTATTTGACAGAGAGAGAGAGATCACAAGTAGGCAGAGAGGCAGGCAAAGAGAGGGGGAAGCAGGTTCCCTGCAGAGCAGAGATCCCGATGTGGGGCTCGATCCCTCGACCCCGAGATCATGACCTGAGCCGAAGGCAAAGCCTTAACCCACTGAGCCACCCAGGTGCCCCAAGAAAAGTTTTAATATAAAATATTTTGTTCTTAAATGAATAAAGTCACAATGAAGGCATTAAAATGCTAAAGAAGACTGAATACATTTTAATTTTTCCTGATTTTTTATGTTCTTTTATTCCCTCCAAAAGACAAATATTTTATTTCCATGACTTGAAGATTTACACTATTAAATTACAACAGATTTTTATTTCTGACATGCTATTGTGCTTAATTAAGTGATAAAAATCTAGCTTTAATAACATATAATTCTTTTCCAAGGATCTACTCTAGAGGAGCAAACAGGTAAGTATATATCATACTATAAGTCATAACAAATGTGCTGTTTTCCTTATTATATCACACGCATTTAAAATATAGATAAGGGGTTGGGAGAGGGGAGAAAAGAAAAGAGAAAAATAAATAAATAAATAAAATGCAGATAAAAATACTGGTTTTCTAACAACTAACATTTTATTTTCTATTAATTAAGAAGACAACCTTAAGACGCACCGATAATCATTATTCTAGAAGGTTTAGAGCAACTTATGGGGTGCCTGGCAGGCTCAGTTGGTAGAGCATGCAACCCTTGATCTCAGGGTGTGGGTTTGAGTCCCACATTGGATGTAGAAATTACTTAAAAAAAAAAAAAAATTGAGGGGGCGCCTGGGTGGCTCAGTGGGTTAGGCCGCTGCCTTCAGCTGAGGTCATGATCTTGGAGTCCTGGGATCGAGCCTCGCATCGGGCTCTCTGCTCAGCAGGGAGCCTGCTTCTTCCTCTCTCTCTGCCTGCTTCTCTGCCTGCTTGTGATCTCTCTCTGTCAAATAAATAAATAAAATCTTAAAAAAAAATTGAAGTGACTTATGAAAGTAATTTTTCATGAACTTAATCTTAAAAGATTGGAATTTCTCAGATAAAACAAACCAATACTTCATCTATTTCATTTGCCTGGTCTCTACTTTGCCCAGAACATGCACAATAGAAATATCTGTTTAAAAAATTGGTACCTCACTTCTGAAGAAAAAAAAGTTCTGAAATTGTTTTAAAATGTGCCAAAATAGGACACCTGGGTGGCTCAGCTGGTTAAGTGTCTGCCTTCGGCTCAGGTCATGATCCCGGAGTCCTGCATTGGATTCCCTCCTCTGCAGGGAGTCTGCTTCTCTCTCTGCCTCTCACCCAGCTTGTGCTCTCTCTCTATCTCCCAAATAAATAAATAAAACAAAAAAAAATGTGCCAGAGTCCATACCTGATTTTTTAATGATGAAAGAATATATTCTTTTTCATGGCGGGAGATTGTCTTGTGAGTTTCTGGCGTTTCGCTAACGAAAAAGATCCATAAAATAAACCAAACGATGCCAACTATACCTGAAAACGGAAAATAAGTTAAATAAAATCAGAATACACCAACATCAATTTTTACATGTCTTGAAAAAATTATGTAATCATTAATTGTCAAAGTAAAACTGGTTTCAGCTTGGTGTTGATTTCAAGTTCTACTCATAATTTCCTAATGGGATACTTGCTATTTGTATTATTTCCTATAAGTTTTGAATAGAACAACTTTAAGCATATGACTCTGCTTATCAGAGTCTACCAGACAAACATTTTGAAAAATAAATTTTCACAATCTATTATTTCCACAGATATCTGTTTTCACTCATTGGTTTTTGTTTAGAATGCAGATGTATTTCCTGCATGAAATGTCTACATGGCAATCTAATTTATTAAAACATGTATCATCCTGCTAATGAGATTGAGAAATGAAAGGCCCTGAGACTGAATAAAAAGAGAAAAAATTAAAGCTGTCAAGTGAGGGCATCCTACTTTGCTTGAGAAAAAATCTTTTCAAAATATAAATTTTTATAATAACCAACACTGTAGTTTTTGGTAGTGAGTATAGCATTAAAGTCTTGGATTCAACAGCAGTTTCTATTGAGAAATATTCCAAAATTAGTATCACATCATAAGTCAACTAGATCATTTTAAGCAAATAAAGTTAAAAAACAGATTTTCATTAAGTATTTTAGAACTTTGTGGTTTAGGAGTTGGTAACTTAGTGAGTTGGAATATATATTTTTAACCAGTTATTAGACTATTAATACATTTTGGATTTGTTACATTATGATTTAAGTTAAATTTTTGAGTAAACTTACCAAAAAGGTAGAAGACATAAGTCCAATTCATATAGAAACAAATTATTCCAGAAAGAGGAAGAGAAATTACTGTCCCAAGCTGTGCTCCTAGAACAACGATAGAGACTAGGTAAACTTTGTAGAGAGATGAATGAGGGGACTGGTCTACTGCTTAAGGAAGATGGGTAACAGATTTTCTCAAGGAATCATTTACTAGAAAACCCACAATATGTAAGACATACACATTAATTTGTAATTACATTAGTTACAACTATGTAGCTATTGATGAATTAGAATGCATCAATCAGTATAGGACCTATTATAACATGAGCTAGTCAATGCCACATTACTAGTAAATGAAATGAAATGCAAGTGTTTGGGGAACGGTTCAAAGATGGTCTCTAAGCCTGATAAACATAATGTACTGCAGTACAACTGAGGAAATAAGAATGAAGCTTTTAGTAATCTAAGTTGCCCAAAATATATTACAAAGAATTGTTTCAGATAAATAAATAATGAAATTCATTTTAATCACCAAATAGAAGACAGCTTAGTAGAGAGAGTGGCAGTTAAAATAATGAGATGTTTTTTCTGATGTCAAGTTTTAGAGGAGAGAAAAATAAACAAGTAATTATTATGGGCTAGAAAGGGTTAAGTGTCACAGAACAGTGTGGAAGTTCAAATATGGGATGGATGACCTTTGACTCCCACAGGTCAGGAAAAGATATAAGAGGCAGCAATAGACTTTGAAAGATGGGTAAGATTTTTGTCCCATAGAAACAAGGTTAGGAAGAAGACAGAGAGGCAGATACAACAGGACGAGTAAAGGAGTGAAGTAGGGAAACAGAGAGTGGGTTTGGGAACTTTGCTTGGGTGAAGGAAAGGAAGAGAGGATAAAGGCTGGAAAACTATGTTGGATAGTAACTGAATATCTACTCCACTTCAGGCACACTCTGTGTGCTAGGGATTAGGCTAGCTGCAACGAAGTAGTGAAGACTAAAGAATCTTGACCCCCAGTTGGAGCGTAGACCTCACTCAATACGTAAGGAGGAAGCATAGGTAGTACCTGCTCATGAACTTATATCGGATTTCTCATGTTGATCTTTACATAGCTGTAAGAACCACCTTCTTAAAATGTAATTTGGATCATGTCTCTCTTTTGATTAGACACCTCTGATGTCTCCCCATTGTATTTTGGAGAAAAAAACCACAACTAAATTTCTTCCCGTGGCCTGTAAAGCCTGATATAATCTGGCTCTTGTCTATTTCTCCAACCTCATCTTATTCCATTCTCCCCTTTATTCATTAAGTTCTAGCCACCCACCGTGGTTTTCATTTCTTTGAACTCTTATGTTATTTCCTGCCTGAGAGCCCTTGTACATGCTGTTCTGGTTGGCTGGAATGCTCCTCCTGCTCTTTGCATGGCTGGTTCTTAGCCTGCAGATTTTAGCTTAAAGGTGACTCCAGAGAGGTCTTTCTCAACCACTGTATTTAAAAGCAGACAGGTCCAAAAGTTTTCATTCAGTGTGTGATCTAGTAAAATTATAATTCACATATAAAGCTCACGCTATCTCACCCACTGATTAAAATGATAGCAAATAAATGCACAGAAAAAAGATGTATGAAGAGGGGCTGAGAGTTATGATATGCTCATTAGACAATCAGATTAGAAATCACAATTTAAGGACAAAAGGGTTTAACTTTCCAGCTGTTGGAACTTAAAAAAAAAAAAGAAAGAAAGAAAACCATAGCATTCTTTATATAAACATCTGAACAAGCAACATGTTTTGAAATAAATGATGGCAGATGGAGAAAATGACATTAGTCAACGAAGCCACATTGCTATATGTTTTTGGGCCAAAGAGAAAAATTAATAATAAAATTATACCTCCAAAATTTTATTTTTCACCGAAAGGAGTATTCTGACATTGTTTGGGTGTGAGCACATCTTTTTTTATCCAAGGCTGATATATACCTAACAGATTATAGCAAAGTTTTTACAAGAATAGTTATCTTACCTGCATATGAAATGCTAAGAAGCTTGCTTCTCTCAAGAGGGGGAGCCCAAGAAGACCACATGGCATGCATAGCTGGAAATGTAACACCCTGAGGAGGGGAAGAAGATATTTCCACTGAAATACAAGGTAGTTTTGTTAATGTTTTAAATCCAGTTGAGTCTTTTGTTGTAAGAGAGATTTCTGCATAAGAACCACACCAGAATTGGGTTCCGCGAGGTGAGATGTTTCCACAGTGTTGAGTGAAAGTACCTTATAGTGAAGTACTTCCAAAATCTGAACAAAGATCTGTGGATTCTGTCAAGTGGCTTGAGGACTACAAGGTAAGGATTTATAATAAATCTAAAAGAATACACTGCGTGATGACGTAAAGGAATCCCTCTCAAGGCCAATTTTACTCATTCACTTTATTACTGGCCTGAATGAAATGGGAATATTACTACCAATATATAACTTTAAAAAAATGCTGAGCTAATACTTTGGGATACTGGAAGAAAATTCAAATTGACCTTAATCAGTAAGAAAAATTGTCCTACAAAAAACCCCGATGAATTCAATTTGAGTGTATATAGTCTTTTTTTTTCTTTTCTTCTTGGTGATAACTAGCTTAGTAAATGCCAGTTACTGATATGAAGTGGCAGTGGAACGGTAGAGGCAGGAGGGTCACAGAGACTTGGAAGAGGAGGAGCTGCTGGAGGAGAGGTGGGAAGGAAGAGAGTTTGGTGGATTCAAAGCTGTGGATTCACAGCTGTCTTTGGTCACTCACTAACTGTGCAGTCTAACAAAGATTAGTTAACCTCCTTGAACTTCAGTTTCTTTATCTGTAAAGCAAAGATAATTCTCCCTATCTCACATGATTGTTGTAAAGCTAAAGGGTGCCTAGTGCTATTATTAACAGAGACAAGAATAAAAGCTTTAACACTTTGTACTTTCTGCTGATTCCTTTAAAAACAAAACAAAACAAAACAGAAGAATGAAAGACAGAAATACCAGTGGAAGGCAAAAATGATTTAGGCAGGGGAGCCTGGGTGGCTCAGTCAGTTAAGCGTCTGACTCTTCATTTTGGCTCAGGTCACAATCTCAGGGTCATGAGACGGAGCCCTGTACTGGACTCTACACTCAGTGGGGAGTTGACTAGAGATTCTCTCTCTCTCTCTCTGCCCCTCCTGCTTGTGCTCTCTCTCTCTCAAATAAATAAATAAAATCTTAAAAAAATGATTTAGGCAGCATTGCAAGTTGATACGAATCTGTATCACAGGAGAACAGAGATCACTACAGAAGAGAGATGAAGGTGTGGGGAAACGTCCACAGAAGTTATGTTGTGAAAAACTTTATTATAAAACCTTAGGGGCCCTGTGGGTATAATTATGGCGAGTCAGATGCTAGAGATGAAAGATGCTGACCTAAGTTTATGGATGAGGTAATGTACATGTGATAATACTGGTGGAACAGATAAAGACAAAAGAAGAATAAACACAACTTAAGTTCTATTCAGAAGTAACACAGTTACTTGAGATAACAGTAGTAATACAATCAATATACTATAATGCTAAATTAGTGACATAAACAGACAAGAAGCTAACATATGGGAATACATTTATTTTTATTTTTATTTTTTTAAAGATTTTATTTATTTATTTGATAGACAGAGATCACAAGTAGACAGAGAGGCAGGCAAAGAGGGAGGGGGGCAGGCTCCCTGCTGAGCAGAGAGCCCAATGCGGGGCTCTATCCCAGGACCCTGGGATCATGACCTGAGCCGAAGGCAGAGGCTTTAACCCACTGAGCCACCCAGGTGCCCCATTATATCGGAATACATTTCACAAGGAGATTCAATATTGGGATCAGAGAAAATACACTATAGTTAAGTATATTTTATTTATGTAAGAAGAGGAACCTGGTGATAAGGGGGTCATTTTTATTTTGTAGTCACAGGAGTTTGTTAAATACAACTCTAGTTGATAAGGACAAAATAAGAATGCTCAGATGAGTGATCAAAGCTTAAAAATAACAGTACTTGGCAATTTCCAAAGTATTCTAGCAATCATTATCACATCTGAGCTGTGACTGAGGAGGGGGCAGGTATTTTAGTTCCAGTTTTAAAAATGATGGAACTGAGGTCTAAAGATGAAGGCTTGCATCAGGTTTCACTATTAGATGCAGTGGAGTTAACTATTCAAACTCTGATCTTATGACTCCAGTCAGTGTTTTTCCAGCACAGCATGATATACTGCTGCCTAACATAAACTTCATGCTACACACCAAACCCAGAGGTCACTATTTCGGTTGGGTCAAAGTTATGTTAAGAGCAAAATAAACCTATGTCTCAGTTTCACAGGTAGAAGCTCAAAGTCAGAAACAAAAAGAGACCATTATTTAAAGATTGAGGTACCGGGGCACCTGGGAGGCACAGTCAGTTGAATGTCCAACTCCTGAATTTGACTCAGGTCATGATCTCAGGGTTGTGGGATTGAGACCCGTGTTGGGCTCTGTGCTGGACATGGAGCCTGCCTAAGATTCTCTCTCTCCCTCTGTCCCTCCTTCTTGCCTCTCTTCCTTTCCTTCTCTCAAACAAACAAATAGATACATACTATGAAATGCAAAAGAGAAGTGTAAAGGAAAAGAAAGATAAGAATTAAAATTTCCAAGTGATAAAAATCTTAGGAGGAAAGGAAAAAAAAAGATAAAAATTGATAACTCTCAAAGCAGCAGAAAGTTCATAAGAATCACAAAACTAAAGAAAGATAGTTATATAAAATGATAAATTATTTGTCTCTAAGCTAGGGAATCAGAACAAAGAACAAAGAGGAAGCTCTATGAAAAACAAGCAGGGAGCCCAATGTGGGGATCGATCCCAGGACCCCGAGATCATGACCTGAGCGAAGGCAGATGCTTAACTAATTAAGCCACCCAGTTGTCCCTAGATAATCACCTTTATAATTAAAAAATAAATCCCTATTATCTTCAAATGTTAATTTTTGGTTTATATTCATACCAAAGAATGATATCTTTAAGAAGGGAAAGTGGTACAGGGTAAGAGGGAAAAAAAAAAAAGAGAGAAAAAAATTACCTCTCCCAATCCTTCTAGTGCCCTGAGTACAATGAGGGCTCCAACTCCCAAATCTGCAGCAATGGGAGTGAACAGGGTAAAGACAGCAGTGCCAAGGATCCCAAATCCTAGCAGCAGTTTCCCCCCCACTTTGCTGGCAATATATCCTCCAGGAATCTGGGTGATGATGTAGCCATAAAAAAAAGAACCGAGAATCCATCCTTGAGTTTCCGCATCCCACTGGTACTTTTTACCCTATAAAGAGTAGGAGGAAAAGAAACAACATTTTAAGACCTTGACTAAAGAGCTCTTTGTCTAACTGGCATGTTAGTATATATAAATATAATTTTGAACCACTGTTTTAGACTGAAGAACTTGTAAACTTCTACCAGGTAGGTGAGTCACCACAGCACAGGCATGCAATTTCTAGAAGTGAACAGAAAGTGAAAGCCATAAACTTCAAGAAGGCCCATTATTTTATGAAACTAGGCTATAGGATGAGTTGTAGAGGCTTTGTAATGACCATAACCAAGAAAGTTCAAAAAAGAGGCACAGATTCAATCCAGAAATTCTACCAAAAAGAATATTGTAGTGGCTGAGCTGGGCTTTGGAGCCATGGCTGGGTTCAAGACTAGCTCTATTACTTACTGGATTTGCGATGTGGGAAGATTATTAAATGAAAAAGGCCTGACACACACTTAACTGTTCACTTAATGTTGGTTATTAGCATGCACAAATATAGTTCATTAATATCTCCCTGATTCAGAACAAGTAATTGAACAAGCACACAGAACAAGACAAAAGAGCAGGTATTTAAATCAAGCCATAGACTTCATGTGGATAGATGTCTTTTAATTAGGAGCAGCACATTGTAAGGTCATAATGAAGATTTAGTGACTCATCTGACATCTTTAATTCACATAGTTGTATCACTGAGCCAATGTGTCAAGAACCATGTCAGGATCTCAGGATTTCTTTTTACTGGTCATATAAGGCAGATGAAGATAACTAGCTAGATCAACAAAAGCATTTGCTAAATGAAAGATACAAAGCACCCCTCTAATTATCCTTACTTGAAGTAGCAATTTGTGGCTTATCTATAGGATTCTTGGACTTCATGAAACGTCTGTCCAGCAATTATAAGTCACAGGCTGAAGCAGGGAAAGTGTGTGATGTGTACTCAAACATGTATTCAGCAACATTATTAAAGTCAAATAAATTTTTTTTTTTTTTGGTAAGTCACTATTCTGTATGCTTGCTTGTTTGGGCAGAAACCCTCTCCTGAGCTTGGATGCTCTTGTGTATAAACGGCAGAGGACACTAACCCAAGTGCTATCTCGCTCCTCTGTGAGCACTGAAAATGGGTGATGATATACTCATAAAAAAGGACTCTAGCCTTTTCTCCTTTTCTATCTTCCTGTGTTAGCAAAATAAAATACTTAAAGTATGCAAAACTCAATTCTGAACAAATGATGAACACACAATTATCAATTCCACTGTAACGTGAAGCAAGCAAAGTGCCTTAAGCAGCTTAGGTTAGGCATGTGTAAACTTTGGAAAAGAATGTCCTAAGAAATTGACCTGTTCTTATTCTTTCGCTGCAGATGACCTAAGCTTTCTTGCAACCATAATCTTTTAAGTAAAACAGCTATTGCAGAAGAGTCCCATAAAAACTATTCAGCAACATCAAAAACAATCAAATTTTCTAGTACGCTAAACAGGTTTTTCCAAATTATCTTCAAGGATGGTTGGTATGTTTATAGAGGAAACCAAGAAACTACTTTTCGAACATATCAAAATATATTACACCAAGCAGCAGTAGCTGTAGTTATATTACTGTTCAACCAGTTGCTGAAAAAAGCACAAGAGAAAAAGATTCAGAGCTTCTGAAAATAAAGTGTTTGTGTTTTCTATAGGATTAAGAAAGAACTTTAGATACTTTTACTCTGACGTTTTTTAGGATTAAGATTGCTTGATTAGCACTTACCGTTTGATTATGATGAACTTTTATGGGAGCAGAATGTTCTGCACACTCCTTAGAGGTTCTGTTATCTTCTAAAGTTGTATTTGAATCTACCATATCCACTAAGGCAACACTCAGATTGACACGTAATGCATAGAGAACGAAGAAACCGAAAAAAGCCAAAAGTGCTAAGTTGTAGCGAGCAGAGCAGCATACTGGAGCTGAAATAAATATTGGGGGACAACTTTCACTAGAAGAATAACTTAGATGATATTGTCTAAATTACTAAAAAGGGTACTTTTTAGAAGTACACAAATTAATAAACCATGAATATTCTTCTGGGGCTATTTTCAGATTAAGCATAACTAAAAACATTTATCAAAGAGAGTTTGTTTTCGGTAGCTGTAGTTTTGATAAGCATTTACACATGAGAGCCTGAACTATAAGACAGTTTCTTAAAACATGAAGGCAATAGCTTTATCAACTTTGCTCAGAAAAATCTCCATTACATAGGTGCCTCAGTGGCTCAGTGGGTTAAGGATCTGCCTCTTGATTTTGGCTCAGGTCATGATCTCAGGATTGTGAGACTGAGCCCCCCAGTGCTAAGCCTGCTTGAGATTCTCTCTCTCTCTCCCTCTCCATCTGCCCCTCCCCCTCCCCTTGTTCCCCTCCCCCCGCTTGTATGCACATGTGTTCTTGCGCTCTAAACGAAAAGAAAAGAAAACTCCATTACAGAGTCAAAACTGAATCCCTAATCCCTGCCGGTTGACAAAGATTCAAGAAAAATAGTTAAGGGGTTTAATAGCATCATTATTTCTGAAAAACTATCTAAAACATGGCCAATCAGTATACAGTACTCATTACAGCAAAGCACTGATACTGGGGACTATGGGTGAGTAGCCATCTCACTGTAATTGAAGCCCAACACAAAAAGTTTCTTGCCAAGGCTCACATGAAACCCCTCTTGATAAATTTCTTACCTTGAAAAGTATCCTCGGAGGCTGGGTTTGAATCAGAAACCATGATTAGTACTTAAGGCCCTCCTAATCTAAATGTATTTAAGAATCCAGAAGCAAACTTGCAGAATCTATGACAGTTGCAGCATCTGTGACAGTTGCTCAGTTGAACATGCTTAAAGGGCCCACATAAAAAAGGAAGTAAGTGAACGTAACACAAAGATTAAAAAAAAAAAAAAAAGAGGAAGGCGGAATTGGTTGAAGGAACCAATGAAAGAAAGATCATGCAAGAGGAGGAGTTTTGATCTATTTTTTTTTTTTTTTTACCTTAATTGGGGCGTATGCACATTAGTTTGTCTTTTTCTTCCTTTGCTGAGGTGTAGCATTGGAGAGGGGACAGGAATTTAGGAAGTTAAGGTTGAGTGATCCCTTAGTGACAGAGAGAGAGCAGCTAATCCAGGGTTTTACACCAGTGCAGGGCAAACACTGAGTGTCTGATAAACAGCTGTCAAAAGATACAAACGTCTATTTTACTTGGTAATGACAACCTGGAGTTAAATACATGTACATGAATATATGTATGCTCTTGTTTAGTAATGACCTACTAACACTCCATATGTTTGTGTTTTTTCTCCTACTCAGGAATCCTGGTGTTGCACGGACCCAACCTCAAGCAACAGGACATTTTTCCGAGTACAAAGATCTTATTACTGATTCAGACTGAAGTTTAATGAATATGGCATAACTGTACTAAGGGATATATTAATGTATTATGATCCACCTCACTTTTCTAGAAGCCCTCACACACTTTTTTTAAAAAATAATTTTATAAAAAAAATAATTTTATTTACCACAAATATAGTATCATAATTTATGACAAAGAGAGCAAGAGAGCACAAGCAGGGGGAGCAGGAGAAAGAGAGGGAGATGCAGGCTCCTGGCCTAGCAAGGAGCCTGACAACAGGCTTGATCCCAGGACCTTGGGATCATAATCTGAGTCGAAGGCAGATGCTTAACCATCTGAGCCACCCAGGCGCCCCTAGAAGCCCTCACACATTTAACAACTGCAGTCAGTTTTTCCTCTGTGTAGGAATTACATCATTTACCAGAGAATTTTTCATTTGGCATTCTCGACTCCTTTTGGAGGAGTACAGCTGTTAGAATTATGGCACCACTGCCAAAGTAAGATCTTGACCTATGAGAACTGTATTTCTTTTAATTTTTTAAAACTTAAAAAAAAAGATTTATTTATTTGTTTGACAAAGAGAGCACAAGCAGGGGGAGCAGGGGAGGAAGAAGCAGACTCCTCACCAAGCAGGGAGCCCAGTGTGGGACTCCATCCCAGGACCAAGGGATCATGACCTGAGCCAAAGGCAGACACTTAACCGATGGAGCCACCCAGGTGTCCAGAGAACTGTATTTCTAAGGCTCCATTTATGCTGTCTCTGTTACCTGAATCTAGATACATTTGCTCTCTGCTCTAACCAAATGGGCCGCCGTCTAGGTAAAAGACTTTTGGATAGTGTAAGGCACTTTTTCTTTATCATCTGCTCTGTGTGGGACAATAATACTTAGAAGTCTGGCGGACTCATAATCTTGCCAAATTAGGCCACCATAGTGTTATTTGGAGTAACTTGGAACAAGATCATTCCAGATATATGTACTGTCTGCTTTGTCAAGGTACTATTGACAAAGTTCATTATGTCTTTCAGCAGAGAATGACGGTTGGTAATTTACGGTTTCAAGAGCTTCTCGGGTTGCCAGTGTGAAGATTACAAAGGGGGAGGAGTGCGAATGGTGGTGGAAGATATAGACTCAGAAAGATCATTTATGGGACTGTTGTTTTCCTGGGAAGAGATGAAGGTGGCTTAAAGTAGGATAAAGCAGAGGCAATAAGCAGAATGGGCAGATTCTTTTTTTAAGATTTATTTTTTTCCTTGAGAGACAGAAAGAGAGAGTGTGCGAGCAGGTGTGTTGGGGGAGGAGCAGAGGGAGAAAGAGAAATCCTCAAGCAGACTCTCTGCTGAGCGAGGAGGAGCCCTGGGGCTCAGTCCAGACCCCATGAGATCATGATATGAGCTAAAATCAAATGTCAGGTGCTTAATTGACTGAACCATGCAGGCACCCCAGAAATGGGCAGATATGAGATAAATTTAAGAAGAGAACTGACAGGCCTTGCCTACATATTAGATGTGGGAGTAAGTGAAAGGGAGGGTTGAAGTTACTAGTAACTCAATTCACTAGTCTAGACAACATTATTTTATGCCATTCTGACATAATGTTATTACTCCTCTCTATCATATTTGCAGTTACCTTATTTTACTGTTTTCAGCTTCTCCCCATGTGATGCCTGATTTGGACTATGAGTTCATACCCTATGAAGATGTGGGGCAAACAGCCTGATATTACTTGATAAATTGACCTATAAGTTATGGATCAGGCAACTATGACTTTTTGGGGCAGAATCAATAATCAGAAAATAAAAAGCCAAGATAGATGTCACAAAGTATACAGCTATGAGGTTGTAAGAAATATTACAAATATTTGGTCACTACTTTATACAAATGGCTGTTACTTACGTATCAGTCAGAAAATTTTTTTTTCAAGAAAGCATGGTGATAAGACAAAATGTGCCCGTGAATCTGGATAATGTTTGAAATTGGTCCAACAAAAGAATGCTTGCATTATGAAGAGAGAAAACATCCATCAAGCATCCGTGAAGGCTGAAGTCTGGTTGAAAGCAAAATCATGCTTGAGTAACGAACAGAGCACCCATCAAAACAAACACAGTTTCTAAACTATGGTTTAAATTTAGGAATGTGGAGTGGGTGTAGTTGAAAGAACACAGGCTAATTTAGAGAGAAGCAGACCTGGGGATGAATCTCAGTCCTGAATCTCACCGGCTGTGTGTCTTTGGGGGAAGTTACTTAATCGTTTTCATTCTCAGGGCACCTGTGTGGCTCAGTGGTTGATCTTCTGTCCAGCTCTTGGTTTCGGCTCAGGTCATGATCTCGGGGTCCTGGGATGGAGACCTTCATTGGGCTCCCTGCTCAGCACAGAATCTGCTTTTCTCTCTCCCTCTGCTCTTCCCCCCCACTCACATCTTCTCTATCTCCCTCAAATAAATATATAAATAAAATCTTAAAAAAATAGTTTTCATTCTCAGGTTTCTTGGCTCTAGAATGAGGCAAACAATAACCACCTTACTCGGTTGTGGGTAGATTAAATGAAATACTTTCAGGCAGTTATGGCAAGCACTCAGCACAAGTGAATTCCTTTCCTGTTCACCCTGGAGAAAGTTATACCAGTAAGATAAAGTGCTATAATATATGTGTGTAACAAGGGGCAAAAGAGTCACATTAAACTGTCTGTGTGTATGTGTGGGGGTGGTGGTGGGGCTCGGGCTCAGGCTCAGGGAAGGCCTCTTGGAGAAAGAACATTTATACTGAGTCTTCATCCATGAGTAGGAAGTCACCAGGCTTTGAGAGTGGAGGGGTAATTGTCTGGAAGCATCATCCATGTGGAATAAGGAAGAGTCAATCTCATCAATTAGCACATGAAAAGAGAAAATAATAACCCCTTGAGGCAACAGTGAGGAGTGAGAATGATATGCCCAGAAGGCCAGGTTTCTATTGAAGCAGGGATGTGGGTGGAGGGAAGGCTGGAAAAAACCCTAGAATTCCGGGCATTTACTCATTGTGGAAGGCTTTGACAGTGAGGAGAAGGAAAGAGTACCGAATAATGAGAGGATGAGACTGGAAATCCATGGTTAGGAGCTCTGACCTACATAGATGGGTGATTTTTCCTAGAGGAGGATGGGCACTGGACGTAGTGAGCCACCCCCCAGCCCAGGAATTGCATTAAAAAAGAATTTCCTATTGGGGCGCCTGGCTGGCTGAGTTGGTATAGCGTGTGACTCTTGATCTCGGGGTTGTGAGTTCAAGCCCCATGTTGGCATAGAGATTACTTAAAAAAAAAAAACTTAAAAAAGAAAAAAGATTTCCTATCTAACATGAATACAATATGCTTTGTGTTTAAAATGGTAATATTCAACTGTCTTACTCTTCCTTATGGGTCATTAATTCCTGATAAATCCTTATGTATTCTTAGCTCCCAAATTAATACCGTTTATGTGAAAACACCAAATTCCATTAAAATGGATCCAGTTACTACTGGTTATCATAACATGACTCAATGATCCAATGATCCAAGACCATTAGCGTTTGTTCTGTAATATAGTTGCTCTCTACCAGCACTCCATATCTTATATTTAAGACTATATTCACACAAGAAGTATATTTGTGAAACTCAGTGCTCATATAACTAAATCCTGAATGTAACCCCCAACAGAATAGTAGAGGCAAAACCCAAAACAAACAAAACACCTCTCCTCCATCAATGAAAAGAAAGCACAGAATGACCTATATTACAAGCTAGAAATCACAAGTTCCAATACAGTGAGACCATGAAGAGTGGGGACAATATTTTGCTGTGTCCAGCTTCTCCGAGGAATGCAAAATCCAAATGGTCTTCGTTGATATTAGTGATAATAATAATAGTAATAGTAACTAACATTTACTATACGCCAAACTCTTCTAAGCACTTCCTATTACCTCATTTAACCCTCACAATAACCCTGTAAGTTAGGTATATTATTTTCCCTGATTTATTTATAAGGAAACTATAGAGAGCTTAGATAATTGCTAAAGCTCACACACCTAGTTAGTAGAGGTGGGCTTGGCAGTAAAGGACTCTGGCTCCAAATCTATGCTTTGTCTTTAAACACAAAGAAATATTTTAGAAGCCTTAAAACTGAATTTTTCCTAACACAAATGAGCACATTCTTGGAGCAACAGTATTTTGAAAATCCTCTTGATCAAATACAAGACACATGTCATTCATACAAAAGTAAATGTTCACCTGGTGCAAAGTATAAGGAGTGAAGAATTTTTATGCGTGGGTGGGGACGCTTTGCTCTTCCTTGCTTAGTTCCCTCCCTTCTTCCTACCTAAATTAGGTATACACTTATAGATAGATATATATAGATATATACCTATATTTTATATAGGTATATATCTATATTTTATATAGATATAGAAATATCTATACACTTCCTATTGTTCATCAGTGTTGAGCCTCCCTTTCCCCATCATTTTGGTGCGCATGTCTGAAACCCACCAGGCTGAGTAAAAGCACATTCTCGAGGGGTAAACCATATTGGGTTACTGAAAATTCCATCATATTATGTCAGCCTGAGAGGCATTAATTCTTACACTAAGGAAACATGTTAATTTTAGCTCTCTTAGTAAAGAAACACTACGTATAATTTAAAACCATATCCTCATATGCATGGTGCAATGGGGAACTCTCAAATTTGTAACAGATCAAGTAAAAACAATTAAGTGCTTTTCAAATATGAATTTCTCAACTATAACACAAATGTGGCCACATACAAACTTGGGGATGTAACCTCTGCGGCCCCTGGTTTCTGTGTATAAAATGATGCACCACCAGATGGTGGTTAGTTTCTAAGGTCTTTTTACTACTGGAAAATATTACGACCAACATTTTATCAGCCTTTCCTTCCTGAAAATCAAAACTATACACTTAGGCGTGGATAAGGTACTGCTATATGTATTTTCTCAACTACAACAGAATATATATATATATATATATATATATATATAGTCCCCAGGGAATATTTTGATTATGGCCTTTTTTTTTGTATTTCCATACTAGATTATTTTACAGAAGAAGATTTTAGAAATCTAACTGTATGCCACAGAAAAAAGCTCAGTTTATGGAACTAAGTCCAACTTCCAGGTGGAACGTATTTACAGTATTTACACTGTGCGTCCTCTAAAATAAGCTCCCAGGCTGCCGGATGGAGAACTTATGTTGTCCCATCTACTGCCACCATCTGGTAATGTGAAAAACAAATAAAAAAAGATACCACAGGACGATCCTGTTCTTGGGTCAGGAAAAGTCAAATTTCTAATTCAACTCTGTTTCTCCTGCACTCATCTTTGAAACTATAGAATGCGTGCAGACGGATTTGTTCTTTAGTTTTAATGACTTTTAAAGAAGTTCCATTTGTTAAAGTACTAAATGGAAATATATCTTAATTTCTCCAAATTCGGGGAAGATACGTTGTGAAGTACTTCCTTTTCTATTTGTGGCAAGACCTCTGGCAAATCATCTTAGAGCTTTATAGCTATTCTATCTTGAAGATAACTGTTTTCTGACTTGAATCGTAGACTGCTATGATGTCACCGTAGACTACCATATGGAAAATAATTCAGGATACTCTCTGGCTTATGCAATAGTTTTCCTTCACAGACGCACAAATGTTGACCTCCGTCCTCTTCGGTTTCAGCTCTCGCCCAAGGGGCTACCAGATTTCCAGCCTGCGGACGGCAGCTGCGGAAACTGGCGGCGGTGACGGGGAGAAAGAGCTACCAGCTCCGTCCAGCCCTTTGCCCACCGATCTGCAGGTTTCTCTACCAGTCTGCTCTTACTCCGGGTCTTCCGCCCGGCCCTTTGGCCATTGATTTACAGGTTCTACTGCAATACATTCTTGCACGGGGTCCTCCGCTCGATATTATCGAAAATTGCCAGGAGCCCAGCGCCCGCGGCGCCCAGCATCTCCCGCCCAGACCCCGCGGAGCTGCACCTGCCGAGGCCCCACCCGAGCCTCCAGTCCGGCCCGGCCTCCCGGTCTCCGCCCGACCCCAGAGCGGCGTTTGGGTACCGGGGCAGGCGGGGGCTAAGCGGGGCGCTGAACGGACTCCCCCTCCTCGAGTTCCCTTCCTCAAGACCCCTCACGCCTAAGCAGCCCTGGTCCCATTGGCAAAGCGCGGGTATCCTGGCCACCCCCGCCCTGGGACAGCTCCGAGGCTCACCGGCTTCCACCCGCGGAGTGCTCTGCAAGAGGGGCGTCCTATCTGAACCCTCCTCGCCATCGCTCGAGGCCAGGCCCCGAATCGGGGACCTCATGACGTCTCCGGGAAGCAGGAGCGCGATACCGGCAGAAAGGAGAGCCGGGGCCCGACAGCCAAAGGCCGGGGCCGCGCTGGCGGGGCGGGCTGGCGGCGCTTGCACCGCCCCTCCGCTGCGTTCTGTCCCCGCAGTCCCGCCCAGAGGCGGCCGCAGCGACTCCGCCCCCGCCGCCATCTTAGATTCGGGCAACTGTGGAGGGGGTGGGCGGGGGAAGGCAGAATTCCGGGCGTTGCGGCCTGGTGGGGCGCGGTGGGAGTTGACTTACCTCGCCCCTTGGGTTCTGGGCATGCTAGATCGCCGTCGTTCCGAGGAGCAACGCTCTCCCTCTTGTGCTCCCTTGTAAAGCGTAGGGGCTGCCCCTCCGGGATGAGTGGGACCGTGGAGGCGGCTGCGAGGACTTGAATCCCGTAGAATTAAGGGGAGGGCTCGAGTCGAAATTGGGAAGTAGATGGTGTGTATTTGACGTTAATTTATCAATAGTAAACTGTCATGGATATTAGCAATCCTGGTATTATCTAACCGTAACAGTATATTGTTCACGTAGTTTTTGCGAAGGAAAAACACTAAATGGAAACATACTGTTCAGTCCTAGGAAATGGCTTATTTTGTGGGTCAAAAAAGAAAGCCAGTACTGTCACTTTCATATGCTTCAACCTACAGAGTCCTCTAATCTGTGTGTGTAATGTCCCCCTAGGTCTGGTTCGAATAATAACTTCTGGCATATGCTGACTGAGAAAGGAAAATGGGCCAGTCTGTCTTGGCGGGGGGATGGTTGGGGAATGGGGCGGTGGGAATGGGACAGATGCCGGCCTGCGGTCCTGACCGCAGGCTTCAGTTTGGCTTTATCGTGAGTAATGGCGACCTGGAGATAGGAAAAATAAGATGTGGTAGGTGCCCTTGGGGATCTCACTGCAGTCGGGAAGACTCACGGGACAGTAATAAAAAAAAAAAAAAAAAAAAAGGTCAGAAGCTTGGTGAGGTCCACATGGGAACAAATGGGTGGGTTACTGTCACCCAGCACAGAGGGTGGGGATTTCTGAAGGCATCCCTTGCTTCCCCAAATCAATAAATGCTAGGAGAGTTATCAAGTTAAAATAACAACAAATCAAGCCATGTTTCTGAGTTAGTGAATTTACCATGAATATTTACAGTTCTTTAAGGGGGTTGGGGGAATTCTGGCCTTTTAGAAGTATTCTACAGCAATGCCACTTAAACTTGAAAATGGGTGAAATCACCCAGCAGATCTTTTTAAAATGCAGATTCGGATTTACCAGGTCTGGGGGGACAGTTAATTTTACATGTCAACCTGGAGGGTGTGTTTGGATGAGATTAACATTTAAACTGGTGAACTCTTCCATAGCATGGGTTGAGTTTACTCAATCTAAGGCTTGAATAGAACAAAAGACCTCCTTCCCAACTAAGGGGGAGTTGTCCAGAGGACTGCCTTTAGCCTTCATTTGCAGCTATGTGCTCTCCTGAGTCTCTGGGCTGCTCCATCACACTGCAGATTTGACTTTCCAGCCATCATAATTGTATGAGCCAATTCCTTATATAACTTTATACACACACACACACACACACACTCTCTCTCTCTCTCTCTGTCTCTCTCTCATTCTTTTGGTTCTGTTTCTTTGGAGAACTCTAATACATCTGGGATGGGCCTGAGATTCTGTATTGCTAAGAAACTCACAGGTGACCACATTATGAATAGCAAATTTATAGAAGACTTGGACCAGGGAATAAAGATTCTAACAGATTTGAAAAGATTTAAAACTGGAAGAGATCCTTTTTTTCTTTTAATACACTTTTTGTTTTAAGAGTTTTAGATTTATGTGAGAGTTGCTGAGATAGTACAGTGAGTTCTCCCTACCCTTTACCTGATTTAACCTGTTAAGATCTTACAATAGTATGATACATTGGTCACAACTGATTAGCTAGTATTGATAGGTTATTATTATTATTATTATTTTTAAAATATTTATTTGTCAGAGAGCGTGAGCACAGGCAGACAGAGTGGCAGGTAGAGGCAGAGGGAGAGGAAGGCTCCCCGCTGAGCAAGGAGCCCGATGTGGGACTTGATCACAGGACTCTGGGATCATGACCTGAGCCAAAGGCAGCAGCTTAACCAACTGAGCCACCCAGGCGTCCCTTGATAGGTTATTATTAACTGAAGTTCATACTTTATTTAGATTTCTTTAGTTTTTACCTAATGTTCTTTTTGTGTCCTAAGATCCCATTCAGGATGACACAGTACATATAGTCTTTGTGTCTTCTTAGGCTCCAGTAGACTGACAGTTTCTCAGACTTTCCTTGTTTTTGCTGACCTTGGCAATTTTGTAGAGTATTGGTAGGTTTTGTAGAAGGTCTCTCAATTTGGGTTTGTTTGATGTTTTTCTTATAATTGAATTGGGGTCATGGTTTTTCGGGGAGAAAGACCGCAGAGCCAAAGTGCCATGCTCATATAATTTCAAGGGAATGTGCTGTCGATATAACTTATCACTAATGATTATCACTGGTGATGTTAAGCTTCACCACATACCTGAGATAGTATTTTCAGGTTTTTTGCCCTATAAAGTCACTCTTTTTTTCTCCCCTCTTTTTCTATACTTTTCTCTTTGGAATGAAGTCAGTAGTGCAGCTTACATTTAAGGGGTAGGGGAGTTACTCTCCCAGGTCTTTGAGGGGCAGAATCCTTTGTATGGGAGGTTTTTCTGTTCTCCATTATTTACTGATTCATTCAAGTATTTGTTTATATTATTATGGGCCCATGGTTATTTTGTACTTGGGTTATAATCCAACACTATATTATTTACATTGTTGCTCAAATTGTTCCAGCTTGGTGATTGGAAAATCTTTCAGTTGGTTCCTGTGTCCCTTTTACATGCCTCCCTTACTGTGTTTTTTTGAGCTCTACCTTACTTTCTGATATAATAAGATGTTCTAGGCTCAGCCCGTATAGCCTCTGCTCCTACCATTTCTCCAGAATGCATGATGTTAGAAACCAGGATGGTGCTGGATATATTTCTTGCTACTGCATTGTCATTGATTCTACACCCAGAGAAAGTACTTTTGTTTTGTTTTGTAATATTACAAAGAGGATTTTTTAATAAAAGATTTATTTATTTATTTGAGAGAGAATGAGCAAGAGCACATGAGCGCAGCAGGGAGGGGCAGAGGGAGAGAGAGAATCCCAAGCAGGCTCCACACCCAGTGCAGGGCCTGATCCCAGGACTCTGAGATCACCACTGGAGCCAAAATCAAGAGTCGGATATAGAGTCAGATTCTCCACTGACTGCGCCACCCAGGATTAAAAAATGGACAAAGGACTTGAGTAGACATTTTACCAGAGAAGACATGTAAATTGCCAACAGGTACATGAAAAGATGCCCAACATCACTGATTATCGAAGAAACGTAAATCAAAACCACAATAAGATACCACCTCACGTTGATCAGAATGGCTATCACTAAGGAGACAAGAGATAGTGTTGGTGAGGATTGGAGATAAAAGGAACCCTCAGGCACCGTTGGTGGTGGGAATGCAAACTGGTACAGCCAGTTTGTGGAAAACAGTATGGAGAGTCCTTAAAAATTTAAAAACAAAGCTACCATATGATCCAGAAATCTCACTTCTAGGTATATATCTCAAGAAAGTGAAAACACTATCTCAAAGAGATATCTACATCCCCATGTCCATTGCAGCTTTTTGTTTTGTTTTGCAGCATTATTCACAATAACCAAGATCTAGAAATAATCTAAGGGTTTATCAACGGATGACTGGATAAAGAAAATGTGAGAGATATCCATCTGTCACATATATATATATATTTATATATGGGATATGGAAATGAATATGGAATATGAATATGGAAGAATATGGAATATTATTTAGCCATAAAAGAAGGGAATTTTGCCTTTTCTTACAACGTGGATAGACCTTGAGGGCATTATACTAAATGAAATAAGTTAAGCAGAGAAAGAAAAATACTATATTATATATGTTCAGGATCTAAAAAAATTGAACTCCTAGAAATAGAATGATGGTTGCTAGGGGCTGGGGCAGTAAGGAAAATAGAGGAGATGTCAAAGGGTACAAACTCCCAGGTATAGGATGAATAAATTCTGGGGATCTAGTGTATAGTATGGTGACTCTAAGTAACAACAGTGTGTTATATAATTAAAAATTGTTAATAGTAGATCTTAAATGTTATCACTACACACACACAAAGGTAGTTATGTAAGGGGATAGAACTGTTAACTACCTGTACTAAATACATGTATCAGATCATCAAAAATTGAACACCTTAACCTTAATATGTCAGTATCTCAATAAAGCTGAAAAAATTTCTCCTTTTCCCTGTATCATCTATATGTACCTCAGTGTTGTCTTCCTAAAATGCAGATCTGATACTATTACCTTAAAAAAACCCAAAACCCTTCAATGGCAGCTTATTGCCTAGGTCTTCACATTTTTTGATTGTGTACTCCATCAATAAAAATTGTGCATATGCACCCAACATATGTATTTTTTGTTTTTTTTCTTTTTTAAAAAGATTTTATTTATTTATTTGAGAGAGGATGAGCTGGCGGGGGGGGAGGGCAGAGGAAGAGGGAGAAGCAGAGCCACTCCTGAGCAGGGAGCCCATTGCAGGGTTCAGTTCCAGGATCCTGAGATTATGACCTGAGCCCAAATCAGATGCTTAACCAACTGAGCCACTTAGGAGCCCCTGTATTTTTTTTTTTAAATCACACATGGACACACAGACACATGCACACACACACACACACACACACACACACACACTGCACCCATCAAACACTCAAAATGTAAAAGGATGAGAAAAGGTAAATATAAATAGATGTTCTGATTTTTCATAGAAAAATTTTGCTAATGCTCTTGGGGGAGTGGGGTCACTTTGGAGACCATTTGTCTCTAGGATAAAATCTAAATTCTTTGGAATAGAACATGAGATCCTTGCAAACTGGCCTGTTGCCAGTCTCATTTTCAACCACTTCCTGACATCTGCTCTGTGCTTTACACATCGGACTACTCACTGAGCCTTATACATACAATGTTTTCCTTGTGTTGTTCCCTCTACCTGTTTGCTT